TGTACCGATTCCATGGCACATGGTTTATGAACTGATATGCAAAACAATGCCTGATTCAAATTTGAATTATTATAAACAATTATTGCAACCAATAGAATGTTATATATAGTTGAAGTCAGAAGTTTACATACACTTAGGTTGGTGTCAATAAAACTTGTTTTTCAACCACTCCACAAATGTCTTGTTAACAAACTATAGTTTTGGCAAGTCGATTAGGACATCTACTTTGTGCATGACACAAGTAATGTTTCCAACAATTGTTTACAGACAGATTATTTCACTTATAATTCACTGTATCACAATTCCAGTGGGTCAGAAGTTTACATACACCAAGTTGACTGTGCCTTTAAACATAAAATGATGTCATGGCTTTAGAAGCTTCTGATAGGCTAATTGACATCAATTGGAGTGTACCTGTGGATGTATTTCAAGGCCTACCTTCAAACTCAGTGCCTCTTTGTTTGACATCATGGGAAAATAAAATGAAATCAGCCAAGACCTCAGGAAAAAGAATTGTAGACCTCCACAAGTCTGGTTCATCCTTGGGAGCAATTTCCAAATGCCTGAAGGTACACGTTCATTTGTACAAACAATAGTATGCAAGTATAAACATCATGGGACCACGCAGCCGTCATACCGCTCAGGAAGGAGACGCGTTCTGTCTCCTAGAGATTAACGTACTTTGGTCCAGAAATGGTTGAAAAAGTGCAACATTTATGTGGAGCTATCTCTGCAGATAGCACTACTCTGTGATTTGAAAAGTCATGGTCAATCGATCAATAATATAATAATACTTTTAGAAGAAATGTTTATCAAACTATACAAACTATGAGAATAGAAAGATTCAGAAAAGTTGTGAAACATCACAGCACAGTTGAAAAATATATGGCAAATAGAAATAAAAAATGGATGGCGTTAAGAGATAGATGGGAGGGGTTGAGTGGATCTGAAGGGTGGGATTAAAAACAACAAGATAACTAATGTAAAATATACTGTGTCTGTATATACTGTATATTTTTACAAAAAAATATATGAGGGATTGGAAATGATGCAGACAATTACTGTGATCTACAATCTATCTGTACTATTAAAGCTGATCTACCCCCTAAACATTTTTAAAAGTCTAAGAAGGGGTAGGTCTGTTTTATATGCACTATTTATATGCTTCCCGTTCTTAAATTGAGTTTTTGCATCTTTTGGTTTTGTACACCAGCTGAAAATACAACATTTTTGGTCATGGAAAATATATTTGTTTCAATAAAAAAAGAGTTGCTGCTTTCAAATATGGCCGCACTGTACCTATAGATGCTAAAAATACTTTAAAAAATCTTCTTCCATAAATCCGATTGACTCCAGATTTGGTATATAAACACAATTAATTAGCCTCTAATGAATTTGAGAATGATTAGTTGCTGCATTCAACGGTGGCCACGCTACACCACTAGATGGCACCATACCACACCAGGTCTATAAACACTGAACTGATGGACATGGGGCCATGAAATGTGTTATGTAAACCTTATGTACAGTGCCCTCTGTAATTATTGGGACAGTGAATATGCAGTTAAAGTGCAGATTGTCAGCTTTAATTTGAAGGTATTTTCATTCATATCGGGTGAATCGTTTAGAAATTACAGCACTTTTTCTACATAGTACCCCCATTTTAGGGGACTATTGGGACAGAAGTATTGGGACAAATTCACTTCTATGTGTATTAAAGTGTTAAAACGTTAAGTGTTCCCATATTCATAGCACACAATGACTACATCACATTTGTTGTTTTGGTTGTGTTGTTTTGGTTGTGTTTGAGACAATTTTGTGCCCAATTGTAAATAATATATTGTGTCATTTTGGAGTCACTTTTATTGTAAATAAGAATAGAATATGTTTCTAAACACTTCTATATTAATGGGGATGGTACCATGTTTACGGATAATCCTGAGTGAATCGTGAATAATGAAGATTGAGAAAGTTACAGATGCACAAGACACCTCTCACCATTACAATAACAGGGAAGGTTAGCATTTTGGGGGGGTATGATATTTGTGCGAATGTAAGTTATCCACAAGTGTATGCAACTGTGTGTACCTGTGTGCACCTGTGTTGGTCATAATGATGCCTTGATATTCATATTATAACAAGTCTGAAGTCAATTTCTACATGTCCTTCATTGCCAATCACTTTGTGCCAATAAAGAGCACTGCAGTCACACTACTTTAAATGAATGAATTACCCTTTTCATTCACTGTAAGTAAATTCTGATTTTGAACCACAATTCTATAGAACTGGAAGAGGGTGAATGATTTCATAAACCCCTGTCTTATGAGCAGCCAATAACCCAGAAAACAGAGCCTACATTTACAGTGGGGAGAACAAGTATTTGATATACTGCCGATTTTGCAGGTTTTCCTACTTACAAAGCAGAAATCCAGAAAATCACATTGTATGATTTTTAAGTAATTAATTTGCATTTTATTGCATGACATAAGTATTTGATCACCTACCAACAAGTAAGAATTCCGGCTCTCACAGACCTGTTAGTTTTTCTTTAAGAAGCCCTCCTGTTCTCCACTCATTACCTTTATTAATTGCACCTGTTTGAACTCGTTACCTGTATAAAAGACACCTGTCCACACACTCAATCAAACAGACTCCAACCTCTCCACAATGGCCAAGACCAGAGAGCTGTGTAAGGACATCAGGGATAACATTGTAGACCTGCACAAGGCTGGGATGGGCTACAGGACAATAGGCAAGCAGCTTGGTGAGAAGGCAACAACTGTTGGTGCAATTATTAGAAAATGGAAGAAGTTCAAGATGACGGTCAATCAGCCTCGGTCTGGGGCTCCATGCAAGATCTCACCTTGTGGGGCATCAATGATCATGAGGAAGGTGAGGGATCAGCCCAGAACTACACAGCAGGACCTGGTCAATGACCTGAAGAGAGCTGGGACCACAGTCTCAAAGAAAACCATTAGTAACACACTACGCCGTCATGGATAAAAATCCTGCAGCGCACGCAAGGTCACCCTGATGAAGCCAGCGCATGTCCAGGCCCGTCTTAAGTTTGCCAATGACCATCTGGATGATCCAAAGGAGGAATGGGAGAAGGTCATGTGGTCTGATGAGATAAAAATAGAGCTTTTTGGTCTAAACTCCACTCGCCGTGTTTGGAGGAAGAAGAAGGATGAGTACAACCCCAAGAACACCATCCCAACCATGAAGCATGGAGGAGGAAACATCATTCTTTGTGGATGCTTTTCTGCAAAGGGGACAGGACGACTGCACCGTATTGAGGGGAGGACGGATGGGGCCATGTATCGCGAGATCTTGGCCAACAACCTCCTTCCCTCAGTAAGAGCATTGAAGATGGGTCGTGGCTGGGTCTTCCAGCATGACAACGACCCGAAACACACAGCCAGGGCAACTAAGGAGTGGCTCCGTAAGAAGCATCTCAAGGTCCTGGAGTGGCCTAGCCAGTCTCCAGACCTGAACCCAATAGAAAATCTTTGGAGGGAGCTGAAAGTCCGCATTGCCCAGCAACAGCCCCGAAACCTGAAGGATCTGGAGAAGGTCTGTATGGAGGAGTGGGCCAAAATCCCTGCTGCAATGTGTGCAAACCTGGTCAAGACCTACAGGAAACGTATGATCTCTGTAATTGCAAACAAAGGTTTCTGTACCAAATATGAAGTTCTGCTTTTCTGATGTATCAAATACTTATGTCATGCAATAAAATGCAAATTAATTACTTAAAAATCATACCATGTGATTTTCTGGATTTTTGTTTTATATTCCGTCTCTCACAGTTGAAGTGTACCTGTGATAAAAATTACAGACCTCTACATGCTTTGTAAGTAGGAAAACCTGCAAAATCGGCAGTGTATCAAATACTTGTTCTCCCCACTGTATGTGACCGCTCCCAGACGGACAACCTGTTCTGTCTCAATGTGAGACATGGAGACTGGCAGGAGCTAATGACAACCCATTTATCTGAACCAGTATAGCTGGTTGAAATGAACATTTAGTCACGTTTCACAGTGGTGGAGACACAGCTGCTATCAGAAGAGACTACTCATCATTGTCTATGTTAGCTTCAACCAGTTACACTGGTCCAGATAAATGTGTCAATGGCCATAAGCTCCTGCCAGTCTCCATTGTCATGGCTGTAAGAAGAAACAAATGGTGAATGGACCCAAGAGCGTTGCAACAGCAAGTGTTTGTGCAGGTCACAAGTAATACAGAGGGAAAAGGCTAAATAGAAATCAACACAAGCTTAGAATGGGGCTGGAGAAATGTAAACACTCTCAAATTCATAGACTAACCATCCATGAGATCAAAATCATAGTTTTAACCATGTTTTGAGGCTATACAGTGTTGTTGTTTTTACAATTACATTGTTTACAAAATATGGAGAACAACAAGCTTATATTTTGGATTCTGATGCGGTACAGCTGTTGAACTAAGGCAGGGCTCTCCAACCATATTCCCGGAGAGCTAACTTCCTGTAGGTTTACGCTCCAACCCCAGTTGTAACTACCCTGATTAAGCTTATCAACAGGCTAATTATTAGAATCAGGTGTGCTAGATTAGGGTTGGAGTGAAAACCTACAGGACGGTAGCTCTCCAGGAACAGGGTTGGAGACACCTGAACTAAGGTCATGAGGCATTTATACTGTAAGTTATATTCTGCAAGAAGCAATGGCTATATATTATCAATAAAAAAGTCAAAAGATGTATGTATTATCATTTTTAATTGCACATCCATTTCCCAAACTCACCCTCTACCCACACTTCTGCTCCTATAACAAACATTTCTACATGCAAACAGCCCTTCATGTCTATAATACATCTGTAGCGGCAAAGGATATAAACTAATTGAGAGAAAAATAGAACAACTTAAGCTTGTTTACTGATCCGGCCACCTTCAATGTATACAAACAGCAGCATCCTCCTCCCTGGCCTAGATCCTGAATCTTCGTGCAACAATGGCCACAGCATTACTTTCTTTTCTTTACATTGGGCCGAACCTCTGCGTAGTTCTTGTTGACCTGAGAAAAGCGGATTATTTGCACCTCGTTGGTCTTGGCCTTGAAGTCCTGCCACAGGTATTCTGGAGACAGAATCTTAGTGGGCTTGTTGTAAAGGAGATATCTGTTCAGGTGGCTTTCCTCCTGCCATGCTGCCTCGATGGAGTTGGCGGCATCGGCCTCCAGCTGCTCACGGCAGTACTTTGCCAGCTTGTGCACGTCCCCCACATAGCCAGCGATGGTGGCGCCTCCATAGTAGTAGTCTCCTTCCCCCGCGGGGATGTAGGCCCGCGAGGCAGGACGGCGCTCGTAAGGGTAGTGCTCGTGGGTCTGCTCATAGTAACCCGGGTGAAGTGCGGCCACCAGCCTGCTCAGTGTTTCTGCCCCCCACCGGCCGTAGAACTTTGTGTCCACATCCAAGCAGAAGATGTAGTCCACCTCCTTGCTTATCTGGTTCTCGATGGTGGTCTGGATCATCTCCATCCTCCTGGAGGAGATCTCCTGCCAGCGGTTGGAGCCAGTGACTGGGATGATGGTTACCTGTCTACCGGGAGCGAGGACCACCGCTGGCACGTCTTCCCTCCGGTCAGTGAAGATGTAGTAATGCACTTTGAAATCCACCATGAAATGCTTCTCGGCAGTCTCCAGGAAGTCACGCAGGAAGCGCACATACCTAAAATACAAGGAGAACCAAGTAGGTTTCAGGTGCCCGTCTCATATGGCAAGAGGATAACTCCATTTTCTGTCATTATGACATAATGTATAATCTAAATCAAGATATTTTCAAACTTTGAGTTAGGCCTGCTGAGACTCACTAGTTTGGGAAAAAGGGTGTAGTGGAGACTAAGGCACTCAAAGGTTGGCAATCAAAAGCGTGGAACTTTCAGTGTGGAATATTTAACAACAAAAGATATGTGGGTTGTATTTTGTATTTTTTTATTTTCTTCTCCGGTAACCAGAGCAAGTGCGAACTAAGTTTGAACCTATTTGTACCGGCCACTCTTGCACATGTCCATGTGACATTTGTTTTCATGTACCCAAGAGGTAGAGAAAGGTAAAGAGAGGTGACAATCTAGCAGGGGCCATGCTCTATGTGTAGGCTACTGTGAGTGTGAGTGAGTGACACGGGGAACATGGAGGAGGGAGGGAGAGATGAGAGACAGCAACCAACCAAGCTGACTCGCGCTATAGTAGGTTTAAAATTATCCAATAAAATTACATAGTACCTGTCTTGACTGCATCAAGCCGAGATCTACCGCTTAGGTTTGTTTTTAACATGACTTAAAAGACAGAAGCCTATGCACATGGCCACGGGAAGATGTTTTTCAATTTATCAGGGGGTGCTGCAGCACCCTCAACACCCCTACTTCCCACGGCTATGCCTCTGCAACATTAACCTATTAAAAACAGTTCTGTAGCAATGAGGTTTGTGCAATAGGCTATAGGCCCAATACATCACTGCATATTGGCTATGCTTGAATTCCCATTCCTTTGTTGTTCTTCTCAGAACATTTTGAAATTATGTTTCAAAGTTTTAGGTATATGATCACACTGACCATTTGTTGTATTACTTGTGAGGCACAGCTGAGTGAGCATAATAATTTGCTTTTTATTTTATTTTACTGGACTGATGGTCTGCATCTGATGGGGCCAGTCTGAGGGGAGGGAGGGAGAGAGCAGCGGTGAGGCTGCCTCTCACCCGACTCACCGTCCCTCCGCTCTCCCTCTCTACGCTGAGAAAAGGGGACATTCTTCCAGCTTATGGCAAAACTCAAGTTGCACTGCATTATTTCTGCCTCATGCACCAATTAATGTTGTTACTCATGGTAGCCTAGTGGTTAAGAGCATTGGGCCAGTAGTTGAAAAGTTGCTGGTTCAAATCCCTGAGCAGACTAGGTGGAACATTTGTTGATGTGCCCTTGAGTCTCTCTCTAGTCATAGCTTTACAAGTTTAGAAATGTCACAGTATCATCTTTGCTGTGAGCTCGAGGCTTCTTTATACACCCTATGGCTCGAGGAAACCGTGCAGACACGGTGATCTGAGCTATCTGATTGGCCAGCGGTAGACCTATACGTGCACTTGATTTGCTCTCTGGGCCTGTCGGGTATACGGAGTTCTACCTTCAGACACATGAAATGGTTTAAAATGGGAACACAACAGGAAAGAAAATAGGAATGCAAGGCTTTATCATTGTTGTTTTTTACAGAAATGTTTGGTGATGGACTACGAATGCTACTCTACATTTGAGGCTCAGTGCTACCAGACATCCTGTGTGAGACTACTTACTTGCCAACAGCAAATACGGTTGTGGCGATGCTGAGGTGCATAGGCTTGTAAATGCTGTCAACAACCAAGGGATTAAAAGTGCCTTCCCAGACAATAGGTGCCAACCAAGGGGTAACAGCTACCACATTGGTGCGCCTGAAAAAAACAAAAGACATGGTCAAAGCTTGTGAACACCCAGAGATATTCAGTGCATCATAAGCAACTCTTTCATAGTGACTCCATTTCCTGTATTTCCCAATGCACCTTCTCCTATTGATACTATGTCTACTACTAACAATAATATATGATTAATAACTTACCCCTTTAACACACTGGGCTGCTTATACAGGAGTCTGAAAAGACCATGCAAAAGATGATATTGTAAAATAGCGTACTGCTTTCAAAATGGCTGCAGTTGGTGAGTTTTGCCAAGAGGGTGAGATTATTATATTAGAGTAGACCAAAGAAGAGTCTCACCCCTGTGGGGCCAGCATGTCCCGGGTCCTACAACTACAGTTTTCCCGCCTGAAATTAACAGGGTCCTGCTGACACAACCTTCAGAGGGGGTTCAAAGTTAATACTGTGTTAATTCTGAATGATAGCATCAAGAGAGGTTGTGGAGGGTTAGGGGTTCACAAAAATAAGTATTAAAAAATCAGTCGTTTGTTTATTATGTCAGTAACACAAGTTATCTTACCCCAAAACTTCTAGAACTCTGACGTCCTTATTTTTCATCTCACTGTTAAAGATAAAAGGGAACATTTTAGGTGACTTAACTAGTATGTCAAATCAAATAGAAAAGCAGTGCAAAATGTAATTATTTCCATATTTACAATGGTACTCTATCAGAAAATGTAGTCTCAAATGAGATCTTAATCCCTAGTCTTGACTCTCATTGTCATGAGCCCATGTGGCTTTTTAGAAGGCCAAATTCAGCAATCACCTATAAAATAGATGATGGCATAGTGTCTTTCTGATGGGATTATATACAGGATGGGATTTCTATCAAGATTGGATTATATCATTGACAAAGTTACAAAACAATGAACACGAAACAAGTTCCGGTCTTACCCAAATGATGAGTAACAATATGTTAAAACCAGGACTCTAATTAAGAGATAGAAAGAGGATTGATTAACACCATGTACAACACCTATGATATCGACAATGTCCAAAAATGTATATGTAAAAAAAGTGGTATACAGAGAAGCATACGTTTTGGTTAAATGCCATTATCAGCTCTGTGCAAACAGAAGTGGTGACACACATACAGAAGAAAAATGGTGCGTAATTAGAGTACATACACAACAAGTGGAGGCAATTCAACAATGTGAGCAGAGATAATAATAGAAGTATATCATAATTAAATATCATGAACATCAAAAATGGACATCACAAAATTCATAGATTGACATAATGAATGATAATATCATAATCATGGAAACCATCAGAATGAGAACACTTATACATTGTATTCTGATGTATTCAGAATGAGAACACTTGTATTCTGATGTTGTTCTAAGATTATGATGAAGTTTCTCCAAAGATCAGATATCACTAGTTTGACTTAATAAAACACAGAAAAAGCAACATACCCAAAAAGTAGGATTCCAAGAACTGGCAGAGCGATGGAAGGATGGATATTTGTGCAAAAACGCATTGTTCCTCCCAAAGTTTGTAATGAAATTCACCAAAACTTTTAGTATTTGAAGTAATGCAGGACTGTATCCCAAAGGCAGTAGAATCTGTGCCTTTTACTGTTTCACCAGCAGGATGTAGGCCCACCCAGTGCCAGTGGACAATCTAAATATGGGTGTGACCGATGCTTATGTGTAAGGTAAGAAACGCACCATATGTCTATAGAACAACAAACACACTATGGAACAAGTTAAGCCCGTTTTTTTAAATGTTGGAATGCATTGAATGGCAGGTATTTTTTTGTTAAAATGGCACTCCAGTCTCCTTTTCACCTTATTTATCACCTGATTTACATAACAAAACGTCTTTAGTTCACTATTGCTCCTACAGTTGAAGTCGGAAGTTTACATACACCTTAGCCAAATACATTTAAACTCAGTTTTTCACAATTCCTGACATTTAATCCTAGTAAAAATTCCCTGTCTTAGGTCAGTTAGGATGACCACATTATTTTAAGAATGTGAAATGTCAGAATAATAGTAGAGAGAATGATTTATTTCAGCTTTTATTTCCTTCATCACATTCCCAGTGGGTCAGAAGTTTACATACACTCAATTAGTGTTTGGTAGCATTGCCTTTAAATTGTTTAACTTGGGTCAAACGTTTCGGGTAGCCTTCCACAAGCTTCCCACAATAAGTTGGGTGAATTTTGGCCCATTCCTCCTGACAGAGCTGGTGAAACTGAGTCAAGTTTGAAGGCCTCCTTGCTCGCACACACCCACAAATGTTCTATAGGATTGAGGTCAGGAATTTGTGATGGCCACTCCAATACCTTGAATTTGTTGTCCTTAAGCCATTTTGCCACAACTTTGGAAGTATGCTTGGGGTCATTGTCCATTTGGAAGACCCATTTGAGACCAAGCTTTAACTTCCTGACTGATGTCTTGTCACGAGTGTCAGTGTAATGCGGTGGATCGAAGTCAGGCGCAGGACACAGAACTCTTATGAAACATACTTTACTGAATAAGTAAAGAACCAATACAAAATACCTCCACACAGGGAGGAACAAACCCGCTCACCAACGACACACGAAACGAAAAACAAACACGCACAAAACACAATGGGAGCCACCGGGTTAAATAGGGAAGGAGTAATCACATAATGGGAAACAGGTGTGTAACAATCAGACAACAGGTAGAACATAGAAACATAGAACATAGATCGGCAGTAGCTAGTATTCCGGTGACGACGAACGCCGAAGCCTGCCCGAGCAAGGAGGAGGGGCAGCCTTGGCAGAATCCGTGACAGTACCCCCCCCCCCCGACACGTGGGTGGCTCAAGCCGCGCGTCGACACCGGCCTCGGGGACGGCCAGGAGGACGCGGCACGGGGCGAGTCGGATGACTGCGGTGGAAATCCCTCAACATGGAGGGATCGAGGATGTCCCTCCTAGGGACCCAGCACCGTTCCTCCGGACCATACCCCTCCCACTCCACGAGATACTGCAGGCCTCCCACCCGACGCCTCGAATCCAAGATGGAACGGACCGAGTACGCCGGTGCCCCCTCGATGTCCAGTGGGGGTGGAGGAACCTCCCGTATCTCAGACTCCTGGAGTGGACCAGCTACCACCGGCCTGAGGAGAGACACATGGAACGAGGGGTTAATACGATAATCAGGAGGAAGCTGTAACCTATAACATATCTCGTTCAATCTCCTCAGGACTTTGAATGGCCCCACAAACCGCCGACCCAGCTTCCGGCAGGGCAGGCGAAGGGGCAGGCGAAGGGTCGAGAGCCAGACCCGGTCCCCCGGGGCATACACTGGAGCCTCACTGCGGCGGCGGTTGGCGCTCGCCTTTTGCCGCCCGATGGCCCGTTGCAGGTGCACATGGGCAGCCTTCCATGTCTCCTGCAAGCGCCGAAACCATTCATCCACCGCAGGTGCTTCGATCTGGCTCTGATGCCAAGGTGCCAGAACCGGCTGATAACCTAATACACACTGGAATGGAGTAAGGTTAGTGGAGGAGTGGCGGAGTGAGTTTTGGGCCATCTCTGCCCAGGGGAGGAAAACCGACCACTCCCCCTGCCGGTCCTGGCAATACAACCTCAGAAACCTCAGAAACCTACCTACCTCCTGGTTGACTCTCTCCACCTGCCCGTTACTTTCGGGGTGAAACCCTGAGGTCAGGCTGACCGAGACTCCCAGACGTTCCATGAACGCCCTCCAGAATCTCGAGGTGAACTGGGAACCCCGATCAGACACTATATCCTCAGGTACCCCATAGTGCCGGAAGACGTGTGTAAATAGGGCCTCAGCAGTCTGTATGGCCGTAGGGAGACCGGGCAGAGGAATGATGCAGCATGACTTAGAAAACCGATCCACAATGACCAGGATCGTGGTGTTCCCTTGTGAGGGGGAAGATCCGTCACGAAGTCCACCGATAGGTGGGTCCACGGTCGTTGTGGAACGGGTAGGGGTTGCAATTTCCCTCTGGGCAGGTGTCTAGGAGCCTTACACTGGGCGCACACCGAGCAGGAGGAAACATAAACCCTTACGTCCTTAGCTAAGGTGGGCCACCAGTACATCCCACTAAGACAATGCACTGTCCAACCGATACCAGGATGACCAGAGGAGGGTGACGTGTGAGCCCAATAGAGCAAACGATCGCGGACCTCCAGCGTGACGTACACACGACCCTCTGGACACTGGGGAGGAGTGGGTTCATTACGCAATGCTCGCTCGATGTCCGCGTCCACCTCCCACACCACCGGTGCCACCAGACACAACGCCGGAAGTATGGGAGTGGGCTCCACGGAACTCTCCTCCGTGTCATACAGTCGGGACAGAGCATCTGCCTTAGCGTTCTGGGAACCTGGCCTGTACGAAAGGGTGAAAACAAAACGGGCAAGATACATGGACCACCTTGCCTGGCGAGGGTTTAATCTCCTCGCCGCCCGGATGTACTCCAGATTACGGTGGTCAGTCAAAATGAGAAAAGGGTGTTTAGCCCCCTCAAGCCAATTTCTCCACGCTTTCAGGGCTTGGACCACAGCCAACAGCTCCCGGTCCCCCACATCATAGTTGCGCTCCGCCGGGCTGAACTTCTTCGAAAAGAACGCACAGGGGAGCTTGGGTGGTGTGCCCGAGCGCTGGGAAAGTACAGCACCTATCCCAGCTTCCGACGCATCCACCTCAACCGTGAAAGCCAAGGACGGATCCGGATGAGCCAGCACTGGAGCCGAGGTAAACAGGTTTTTCAGATGACTGAACGCCCTGTCCGCCTCAGCTGACCACCGCAGACGCACCGGTCCCCCCTTCAGCAACGAGGTAATGGGAGCCGCTACCTGACCAAAGCCCCGGATAAACCTCCGGTAGTAATTGGCAAACCCCAAAAATCGCTGCACCTCCTTCACCGTGGTTGGAGTCGCCCAATTACGCACGGCCAAAATGCGGTCACTCTCCATCCTCACCCCAGACGCGGAAATGTGGTACCCTAGGAAGGAGATGGACTCCTGGAAGAACAGGCATTTCTCCGCCTTGGCATACAGGTCATGCTTCAACAGTTGGCAAAGCACTTTACGCACCAGGGACACATGCTCGGCCCGTGTAGCGGAGTATATGAGTATGTCATCAATATACACCACTACACCCTGTCCGTTCAGATCCCTGAATATCTCATGGACAAAGGATTGGAAGACTGATGGAGCATTCATCAACCCGTATGGCATGACGAGGTACTCATAGTGTCCTGAGGTAGTACTGAATGCCGTCTTCCACTCATCTCCCTCCCGGATACGCACCATGTTGTACGCGCTCCTGAGATCCAATTTCGTGAAGAAGCGCGCCCCGTGCAATGACTTGACGGTGATCTGATTAAGACCACGGTAATCAATGCACGGGCGTAACCCACCATCCTTCTTCTTCACGAAAAAGAAACTTGAGGAAACAGGTGAAGTGGAAGGCCGAATGTATCCCTGTCTCAGAGATTCGGAGACATGTTTCCATAGCCGCCTTCTCCTCCTGTGACAGAGGGTACACATGACTCCAGCGAAGTGTAGCACCTACCTGGAGATTTATCGCGCAATCCCCCGGATGATGGGGTGGTAATTTAGTCGCCCTCTTTTTACTGAAGGCGAGAGCCAAATCGGCATACTCGGAAGGAATGTGCATTGTGGAGACCTGGTTTGGACTCTCCACCGTAGTAGCCCCTAAGGAAACCCCTACACACCTCCCTGAGCACTGATTGGACCATCCCTTGAGAGCCCTCTGTTGCCAAGAAATAGTGGGGTCATGAGTGGTTAACCAGGGAAGTCCCAACACCACAGGATACGCAGGAGAATCAATCAGATAGAGACTAATCCTCTCCTCATGACCCCCCTGCGTCCTCATTAAGAGTGGTGCGGTAACCTCCCTGATTAGGCCTGACCCTACCGGGCGACTATCTAATGCATGTACAGGGAAGGGCACATCAACACGAACAGTGGGAATCCCTAAACTAAGTGAATACTGATTATCAATTAAATTCCCAGCTGCGCCTGAATCTACTAGCGCCTTATGCTGGGAATGAGGAGAAAACTCTGGGAAAACAACCTCTATACACAGCTGACCAACAGGGAGCTCTGGGTGAGTCGGGTGCTTACTCACCTGAGATGGTCGACCAGTGCTCTGCCTACTGCCTCGACTCCCTGAGGACCCTCCCCAGCACCGACCTGCAGTGTGTCCTCTGCGGCCACAGTTGGTGCAGGGGACGGCCCCTCTCCTGGTCTCCCTAAGCGCAGCACCTCCGAGCTGCATGGGGGTAGGGTCTGAGGTGCTGGGAGGTGCTGGGAGATGGAATGAATGGGCCCTGATCAGAACGTCCGCGGGTCTCCAACAGGTTATCCAGCCTGATGGACATCTCCACCAGTTGGTCCAGGTTGAGGTTGGTATCCCTGCAGGCCAGTTCCTGCCGAACGTCCTCCCTCCAGCGAGCCCTCTCATTCCATCCTGCGCTGGCTGCCAAAGTCCTGAACTCCAGTGCAAAATCCTGGTCGCTCCTCCTCTCCTGTCGTAGGTGGAACAG